ACATATAGTAATAGATAATGTATAATGTAAAAAGTTGTACAAACTGTAACAATATGTTCGAATAAACAGACCTGAGGTATAACCTCATCTTAACTCCAAAAAAAAAAAAAAAAAAGAATTTTCTTATCTAAATCATTTTATAACAAGAGCAGATTGTGTTAATAAAAATTAAGCAAATCATTATCCAATTTTTTTAAAAAAAATTTGTTTGATTTTTATTAATTTATCCTATATGTTAGCAATATTTAAATATTTTATATTGGTTAAATTTAAAAGCTATATTTTTTTTTTAACATCTTTTTTTTTGGTTTTTTTTAATAATTTATGCAGATTGAAAATATTTTATATATTTAATCCTCTTAGTTTAAAAAAATTTTATAGATAAACAAAAAGTAGTTGTTGTAAAAAGTCAAAAAAAAACAAGCTAATATTGTTAGATAAATGCATCCTATTTAGTTAATAAAAACTTTTCATTACCACCTAACACTTCAGACTGACTAATTTCTAATTCATGAAATTGCTCTAATATTAATAATTCAACATCATTTGCTGATTCTGATAGTTCATTGATATTACTAGTACTTTAATAGAACAACATATTACTTATAGTAATTTTGAGTTTTCTTCTAATAGTGACTATGAACCTATAGCTAGTTTAAGCAACTCTCTGTCTAGAACTTACAGTACTTGTAGTACTATCCAAAAAAAATTTTAAACCTTTATCTACAGGTATAAATCTATTTATTATTATTTAACAAATATTTTTTATTTGTATGTCACAATATTAAAATATACAAATCTTATAAGATTTGTATGTTTTAGCTTTGCAGCACTTATTTTTATAATTCAAAATAGTAGAAACTAATACTAATTCTAAATTTAACAAAAAGAATTTGACCAACTAGTAGTATTTGAAGTAATTAGTAATAAAGATAAAAAAACAGAGAAAAGTAAAAGTAAAGATAAGCAAATAGAGGTTTTTAAGAAGTTAGAGATTTATATAAAACTAGCTAATTTTTTAGATAAGCATTAGTTAATTTTTAAAAATATATATTTTGTTATATAAAATGTCTCATATATAAACAATTTTAAATAAATCAAATAGAACATATATAAAATTATATGTCTATTTAAAAATCAAATTAAAAATTGCTAAAATGAGCTTTTTAATATAAGGATTATATATAATATCTAAATTAATAAAATTTTAGTTTCTAAAATAGGTAGAATTAGTTTATTATATATTCTGTGATTATTGATATTGATAATATTTTAGAATATGTTCAAGTAATTACTAATATTAATCTTTATTAAAGATATAATAAACTAATATAAATATATTTTTTTCTACTATTTACTCTTATTTATTAATTCAATCTGTAATTCCAATTTCAGAAATAACATATATATTTTTTAAATCTTAGAATTAGAAGACATAATGGCATATAGAAGCTTTGCATATATATTCAAAAAGGATATTATAATTGAAGCTACTATTAGTTATCAAATATCAAATATAGTTTCAAGTAAATTAAATAAATGCATTAATTTAAATTGTATTTAAATTATATTAATTCTGCCTTCTATATATAAATATAAGTAAATCAGATCCTGTTGATAATAAAATTATAGAAATATTGCAGGTCTCAGAATACTTTTTTTAGAGATTATTAGAGTCTAAAAAAAAAGAAAATGAAAATGAAAGTAAATAATAATTAAAAAAAAAGAATAATATATATATTAATATATGTTTTCATATACTTTTGTTTTGCTATTATATTAAAGAACTTATAAAATGAATATAAAGATAATAAAAGAAAAAAATATATATTATTATATGCTTTTATATATATCTTAATAACTTTAAACAAATATTCTAATAATAAAAAAAGAAAATATATTAATATGAACTTTTATATACTTTTATTTTGCTTTATATTATGAAGTTGTTAAATAAATATTAATAAATTGTATATTAATACATATATACCTTTATATATACTTATACTTTACTATGATGCTACTAATATGCAAAACAAATATCAGAATCAAAAAAAAAGTATATATTTCTTATATCTTTTATATACTTATATTTTGCTTTAATGCTGATACCTATTAGTTTACTATTATTATTATTTTTATCTTATCTTTTTATATATAACAAAAGAATTATAAGAAACTAAAGATATATTATTTAACCAATATCTATATTTAATCTTTCTATAATATAGATAACTGTTAGTTTACTGATATATTACCTGATATGCATATCAGCTAACTAATAGAATTATATAAATACATTTTATTATTTTACCATTATTCATGTATTCGACCTGTGTAATTCTAATGAATATGTTAGATAAAATTATATCTAATATCAAATTTGATGATATAAACAATAATAATAATAATTTAGAACAATTTTAAAAAAAAAAATATAATGCAAATAATTGCAAATATTGATAATTTTAACACTAATAATCAAATTATTTATAATGAAACAATACTCAAATCTTTTATTCAAGTTACATATAATAATCACAAAGCAACATTGAAAAATTGATTATTTCCAGAAAAAATCAATAATATTTAATTGCATCTACATATGCAGTAACGATATTTAATAGTAATTTACTTAGCAATGAATGTTTTAAAAAAATAAATATTAAAAAGCATCTGTATTAGCACCAACAATATCAAACAATAATTTAAATAAGTGTTTATATTAAATTAGAAAATTTCTATATATTTATTATAACGAAATTTAAGAATATGTAACAATATGCAAAAATATGTAAGAATATTTAAGAATATATAAAAATTTTGCTCATTTCTACTTCGGACAATAAAATTAAAAACTCCTGTATAAGAACATATCCTTTAACTAATAAGTATATTTATTGATCTTAATATAGCTTGAAAAATAAAATAATCTTATCATATACAGTATAAGTCTAAATAGCAAACACAAAAAATTGCAAATAATTGCAATTATATTTTGTAGTACAATTTAATTGCAATCAATTATTTAGCATTTTTAATTTAAAGATTTTAAATAATACTTGCACTTGGTAAATATATGCATACTTGGAAGTTCTGACCTTTTTTAAGACATAGAAATACTGGTGATGATTACCGATGATGACAAATAGAAACCTTCAAACAAAAATTAAATAATTCGAAATTTTATTATATAGACCAACTTAAAACTTTTAAAAGTATTTGAAGTTTTTAGCATATAATAAATATAGTATTTGAATTTAAAATGACCAGTTTAATTAGTTTTACTAATAAGTACGTATAAAGAAACTACAGTGAAATCAAATCAAAAACAAAGCTTAACTTTTGCTGATCAGAAATAACAGCTTATGCTTTTATAGTTGTAATGATCACCTCTCTTTATTACATAAAAGAGTACCAATTTCTGATGAATCGGAATATCAGTTATTTTGTGCCTTAAAGAATAAAATATCGGTTTTCAGATCGCCTAGCTATTAATACCTACCTAAATATAGTATTTTTTGGCGATTATTTTTTTAGATTAAAGATTTTGCGGCTAGAGAATCTAATTAGCTATGCTAGATAATGTTTGTATATCACGTTATTTTGTTGTCATATGTACCTGGATTTAAACAGGATTTAAACCGGATTTAAATAAGAATGTAATATCATTCAGTCATTAACGTTAAAGATTAATTTACCGTTACGTAACACAGCAGAAAAATTTTATGTGCCCTAAATCTCAATCACATTTAGGGTTCAAAGTGAAAAAATATGTATACATAAAATCGTTTCGTCCATAGGTTATATGTATGTATAATTATGATTTATAATTTCGGCGCTGTGCTAAAAGCACTTTTCCTTGCAACAATATTAAGTATACTATTATACTATGTCCCACGATTCTTAGCACGCTTTATTGAGAAAAAGTTTAAAATACATGTAGGATCATTCGGGTTTCTTTCATTATCAGATCTATCATACTCTGGAAGCTCTAAGGGCTCACCACGCCAACAACATTCCTATAAGCTAACCGTCAATAGAATATATTTACAAATACGGCGACCGTATAATGGATGCAAAGCATGGGTTACACTCACTATCGACGATGTCAGTGTTATTTTATCCTCAATACGGATGTTCACTCAACCTCAGTCTCGAAAGCTTGATCATGTGCGACAGCCAAGCTTGATCATGGCGGTACCACAACAAGCGTGGTGGTCCTCCGTTTGGGTGGTTAAATATATAATGGCAAAAATTTCAGCAATACCGTTTCAATTTGTTCTATCCTGGATAGCAAGCTGTGTTGATGTGAATATCACTAATGTCGACGTATTAGTAGAAGATCTAGGTCAATTTAAAGTGAATGAAATAACTCTTGGAATGATTCTTTTTGCCAATGTTGATTTAAACCAAACGAACCCGAGTCACGTAAATCTTCTGGGACAACACTCCATCAGAAATAGACATCACTTATTTACAAATAAACTTCTCAAAGTCACATTTTCTTATTCTTCTTTGTCTATTCGAGATATATCATCAGCAAAACTATGTTTGAGTAACCAAAAAAACCTTCCATCAGCCATCGATTTTCCACATTTCTCCACAATTATACTTTCTTTTTATCTTTCTGCTGCCTGTACATCACTTTTAGCTTTTGACATTAATGCATTTTTTGGAGATATTAATGTATGTGTAGATTCAATTCTTCGTCTAAGCAAATCTATACAAGCAGCTATACCGAAAAAAGTGACAAGAGGTCCCACTGAGCCCCAAAGCTTTGGTCAATCACAACAAGGTCAACGCAAAACTTTCAAAATGGCATCCTTGTTAATAGTTCGTAGAATGCGAATGGCTCGTAGAAAGAAGACACCAATCGAATTTCTTAAAACATCAAGAGTTGACATCAAAAATGTAAATATAACATATAACTTTTCAAATTTGGAAAATATAAGTTCTGTGCCAATAAATACAAAATTCACAATAATGGAGCTTTCTGTTTCTCTGGAACAAATGACTCAACAATTTGATGGGTCTGCAGTAAATACACCTCGAAAATCAACATTTTCGCTTTTCTCTGAAGATATACCCAATCCTTTAGAATTAAAAATGAGCATTTTACTCAACGGCTTATATTGCGACGTCACTGATAATTTGGGAATGTTTAGAATTATGCAGATTTGTACAATCTCAAGTATGTTGACCTGTTCAAAACCTCTGGTTCATACCATTGAATATGATCCAAATCTTTTTTCTTTTATCGGAACGTTGGATATTGTTTCCCCAGAAATAGCGTTTGATTATGGGCATTTTGATGTTATTGAAAATATTATAAAATCCATTAATGACGAGGATTTTAAAGAAAAACGTGCATTTGTTCAAACTAAACCTACAGAAAAACAACAAAAATTGCAAAATATTCCGAAATTAGTTGCAACAGTGTCTATTGTTAATCCACTTTTAAAAGTAACTGAAATCCCATCGTCTAGTGTCAAATCTGATCATTCACAACTTGCTTTTGGATTTCAAAACATTTTATTCGATGTGAACGGGGATTATACCGATCTAAGTGAATTGCCTGCGGCAAAACACGAACGTACAATGTCTAGGCGATATAGCAAAGGTTGGGTGCCTCCAACATTCTCTATGGTATATAATTTGGTTGCCAATCTAAAGACTCAAAGAATGAGACTATACACTCTTGAAAATGACTTAATACTTAATCATTCTTGGGAAATTTATTTCATTACGTCTGCCTTAGGCACTATCACAAGCTATATCAATAAAGAAAAAACAACAACATTTGCTCCATTATTGGAGTTAGAAACGATTCAACTAGACATCGGCCTGTTAATCGATGGAATGGAAATACAAATATGTTGTAAGAAAACCTTTGGATTGTTACAACAGCTCATTAATACAGTGACTAACATAATTCCAATAAAGGAAGCAAATTCAAACCACCCAATTCATACATCATCAGTTAATGCATCTCAACCGATAGTGATGTATTCTGAAGTTTTATTATTCCGCATTTCTTTGTCTTCATTTGATATAACAATAGCTGAAGTTGATTCTCCGGTAGATTCTTCAACATCTAGAGGATTTGACATACGCCTTCAAGGAATTACATTTGACTATAGAGGTTCTAGGGCTTCAATAGATCCAACTGGAGGATATAATGAAAGAATCGGTCTTGGACTCTCAACTGATGAAGGTACTGATTTTCAATGTGAAACTGGTGGACACGTTCGAGGATTTGCAAGAGGTTTCAAGGTAACACCTATTATGGCACTTTGGGATAAAGACCTTTTAAAAAATACCGTCCCATTGTTATCCATTCCAGAGATTGAAGTTCAAAACGATTTGAGCATTGAACACACACAGAATTATTCATCCAAGTTAAATGTGAAAGTTACAGAGATTTATATAAATTACTCATTATTGTATCATTATTGCTGCCTGGTTGGCGTAATGAATGTAATAAAATTATTACCGTTGTCTTCAAAAAAGAAACATGCTAGCACAATACATTCGGCTCCAATGTCAAAAGACATTAGTTCGTTTAAAACTGAAGCAAATATTTTACTAAACTGTGTGAACATATTTGTCGATTTGCCGGATGATATAAAGTTTTTCATAAGATTGGATGATTCAAAATACAGATTTGCATCTATTGACGATCACGAACTCCAAATAAGAGGTCTACGAGCTTTTGGTACAAGTCCAAGTGAAGAAGGATTGTGGGATCAGCTTGTAAATGTCAAAAATACACATATTCTACTTTTAAAAGATGATACAAAACGGAATAGTGCAAAATTACCTCTTGATGAGAGTCATAATAAAATGATTTGTGTTCAGACAGAAGCTATCCATGTTCGTGTTCCATACAACTATATTCTTGCTAATGTCATTGAAAGTGCTATTAATTTAGGCAAAGTAATAAAACATTTACAAGAACGTCTCTTTGTTCCTGAGGAAATACATATCTTGGACCCGGAAGAGGAAGGGCCAAAGTATTTGCCAACTATTCAGCTCAAAGTCGGTGTTTTAACATTCCGTATAGAAGATGATCCGTTTGAAGCCAAACTTTCTGCTGTTTGGAAACTCGGGTGTTTAGAACAACAGGCTAGATTAGGGAGAGAGGCTGCATTTGAAGCAAAAGCTAAAGTTATTAGGTCACATGAATATCATCGAAACACAAAGGGAGAAGGAGTATTAGCGACGGATGACGCTAATGTACCATCATTACAAGATGGTGATAAATCTGAATCTCTGCTTAATACACCGCGAGTTGGTCATTTCCGTCCTCAACCTTCTCCACGAGCAAATTTGAGCGTCGAAGAAGCACGTATTGCCCTTAACGAGTATAATTCTCGTAGTTGGATAAAATGTGTAAAAGCGTCAATATTACATCAAAAGTTCGAATATCCATGTGATGACTTGCCTATTTCATTAGCTACACGGTCTCGGCATCCAGCCTTATTCAGAATTACCATAGAGAAATTTTTATTGGTTCTCTCTGCGCCCTTGTTTCCAATGAACGAACTACCCCATTATATGCATAAAATGGGTAAAGGACTGCCTTTGAATACTAAGTTTGCTTTTTTAGTACCTATACATTTGAATTGCAAACTAAAAGAGGCTTGGGCCGAAATTCGTGATTATCCATTACCATTGGCGCACATTCCTTCGGCTGATTTAATTAATGGTGAGGAGCAATATTCATGTGATATCGAAGGGCATTTTGTAATTGGCGAAGAATTGAAGCGATCCGAGTCGATAAGAAGAATTGACGTGCAAATTACCTCACAATCTATTGGTGATAACGATTATAATATCATCGTACCCCGTACATGTTCACCTGTAAAATTATACTCTGATCTTCATATCAGTATAAGTTCATCGCGTCATACTGTTGTTTCGTGGGGTATGGCTACACAACCTGCTATTCAAGATGTTGCAAAAGTTTTTGAAAGCTTCGCAAAGCCAAATCCGGATCCGTCCGAAACCGTTGGTTTTTGGGACAAAATTAGGCTCATGATGCACTTCCAAATATTAATGGACTTTAAGGGTGATAGTAATGTTCAATTTTTTTCACAAGGCTCGCGAGATCCTTACCTTGTTACTGGTTCAGGTGCTGGTTTTGTTTTATGCTGGAGAAAAAACATAGAAATTAGATTAGGGTTTGCAAATGAACAAAATGAGCTGTTACAAATAGACAGCGAAGAATTTATTATGGCCATCCCCAATCTAACCGCTTTGGTTTCTTATGAAGGTCTATTCCCTGATAGCGCATTGTTTGAATCTTATGAAATACAACATGATATTACCAAAAATTCGGAGACAAGTTCCGCTAAAACGGAGAGTTCGAGTAACACACCATTTTCTGATAGTCCATATTTCAAATTCGTGATGAAAATTATGAATTTTTATGGTGGTGTTAGGTATGGAGTGGGATGTCATTTTAATCGTAGTTGCCGCCTTAATTCGGGAGTATGTTCAACTTGTAATGGGCAAGGAAAATGTCTTTATACGGATTTTATTCCTCATTATCAGATAACTACTATATTACCACAATATGCCATTGCACCAATGGGAGAAGTGAGTATAAGCGCAGTAATTAACTTTTTTTTTTTTTTTTTTTTTTTACATATATTTCATTTAAATGTCCTTATCAACATATAGGTACATGATTCTTTTAGAGGATTTCGATCAGATGGTGTTCATCTGTCAGTAAGCGTTATTTGTCCATTAGATTGGAATGAGTCTATGGATTTGCGACAACACAATAAATATCGTGGTCCAAAAAATTCAATAAGGTCAAGTCCTAAAGCGATCATGCATGGATTATCTTGGGCGTCGTTATTCGATCCTGCAATGATAGTTCCAATTCGTCAAGGCAAATTATTCCCATCTCTTACGCCACCACCTCTCAAATTTGCAAAATTTTTAAAATCGGTCAAATTAAAGATATGCGTGGAAACATTATTTTTAAGTAGTTTTTATAGGGAAGAGTCATTATACGATCCACTCGACGGTACAATAAATATGGTCGGAATCAAAGCAAAAATTGGAAGGTTTAAACAAGACATTCATCTTAAGATGCAAGAAAATACAATTATTTTAGAAGGAAAAGAAGTTAAGAGCCTTGATATGATTTTTCATGAAGCAGAGACTGATTTGAAAGATCTAGATGTTCGAGGCATTGCTGTTCGATATATGGAAGGCGCGTTTCCTATGTCTGATAATAATGAAACTTACCGAAAAGAATCGTTATTGGGAAAAGATGAAGACTTTCTGAAAATGAATTTAGATGATGAACAGTGGATTAATGACGATGATTATGTTGAATTGGAATATAAATTACCAGAAGCAAGACCTGGAGTGAGAGTATTACCTTTTTTAAAAAGTCCGCAAATGATGTATTATAAACGTGCTGATATCCAAGAAACTAAAGAAGAGAAGAATGATCAAACGACTAATGTATGTCACATGGGACAAGGAAGAGGTAAATCATTATTTATTTGTTTGATTTGATTGTTTTTATAGAACAGTATAATAATAATAATTTACTGTGATAACCTGTATAATTAATTTTGCAGACACTAGGCAAATTCAATTGGATTTTCTCGCAGAACGATCAAATCAACTTAGTCGAGATATCAAACAACAGGCTAAATTATTGTCAGAGATTGAAGATAAGATAATTAACAATCCTAATAACCAAGAGCTCAAAGAAATCGTGAGTTTACCATATTTATGCTCTAATTATATTCTTCTCAATAATGCTAACAATAATTGTTTCTAAAGTCTCAAACTATTCAAAAAGCTACTTCAACACTTTCAAAAAAGCGGAACATTATCCAAGATTTTATGAAAAGATTAGAAGAAAGCATTAACAAGCCTGAATCGAAAGATTTTAAAGATATAAATTCTGATGATGTTATTAATGAAATCCCTGATTTTGATTCATCTTTGTGGACGGATTCACAAGGCTATTTCGGTCATCGTATTGTTATTCATAACGCTAAGGCCATATGGAATAATTCTTTAAGGAATCTAGTTTATAGATTATGGGATCTTATCGAACAACACCAAGGGCTTACGTATTATATGTCAACGAGTGCTGTCAAATTTATTAGAGATATGCAAAAAAATATCCGCCAGAAAATGGAAAGAGAGATCTACAGACAATCTTTGCATAGTGATACCTTATCTTCAGGCAATTTAGATATTTATGATTTTGATGCGAATGTAGCTGCTGAAATGTTACGAAAGCTTGTTGGGGAAAAAGATACAAATTTTGTTGTCCAAAATGAAACATCCAATCTTTCCGATGAGAATAATGTTGAAACATCGGAAAATGCACATGATGATATTCCTGAAGGTTATTCATTGTTGAAAAATTATCTAGTTCAATTTATGAATCTTCAGATAAATTTCCAATGTGACAAAAATCCAGGTTCTAGTATTATAATGTTTATGGAAAGAGCTCAGATTAAAATCTTTTCTATTGTAGAAGATTGGTCTAAAGGGGACATTATCAATGAAGTAGTCAAAACAAGAACTTTTTTCGGTTTGGACAATGCTCAGTTCTTTACCAGCTTAAAAAAAGATTTCCGTACTAGCCTTTCAAGGATTTTGTCGGATAATAATTATGGATCTAAGGGTAGTGAAAATTGGCCTGTTTGGGTTCCACCTGAAGCATTGCTTGATCATTCTAAAGAAAATTTATTGCCATTTCAAAGAATAATTAAACGAACATCAGCTACAATGCAATATGATAAATTCAATAACTTGCGTATCAAAGGCAGTGATATTAAGAAAGATGATTTAGAGCAGGAAACAGATCGACCAGGACTTGGTGGTTCTGATGTGGATGATTTTGACAAAAGAATGGATTCATGGTACATAGTTTTTCCTAAATTCAAGTTATCCGCCACATCTAAACAATATTGTATTTTAGTTGATGTTGTTAAGGATTTGCTTATGTTCCGTGAGCCAGCAAAAAAGGAGCGAGCAGAAAGGCTGAATACAATCCTACTCGCAGCTGACTTGGATGATCTTGATGGCGTAGCAGAAAAAGTATCATTGTTACAAGAGCAAATTCGTCAATTGGAAGATGTGCGGAACCAATATCAATTGCAATTGCAAGATCTTAACGAAGATATTAAAGGACTACAAGCAATTGAAATAGAATTAATAGGTTTCCAAGAACAATTATATTTATTAATGGAGGCCATCACAGCGTCACAGAATAAAAAAGAAAAGGCGGAAAGTAAAATGGCTTTAAAAGTAGTGGTAATTACCGATGAAGTCAAATGGGTAATGCGAGATAGCAATAGAAAGTCGTTCTGTGAATGGGGTTTATTAAATGCACGCTTCGTTTTAATGACAAAAGAAGAGAACTCTATGAATACTTTAGAGATCGATCATGTACGCGTAATTAACAAACTCCCATCACCTGTTTTTAAAGAGTTAATTGGACCATATATCACTGAAAATAATCGTAATGCAGAGTTTAGTCGCCATAAAATGTTACGAGTATATTGGGGACAATTGGAGCCAGTCGCTGGCATTGATATTGTTGAACATTTCGAAATTGATATGTTCCCGCTTAAATTCCAGATGCAGTACGATGTTGGTAAACTTATAATGATGTATATATTTCCAGAAAAAAAGAAAGAGTACGTTAATCGCGATAAGTCGGTCGATTCATCACATGCGACAAAAACGCCAAAATCTACATCGGAATCTAATCGCGATGAAATTTCTGATGACTTTATAGAAATGCCCTTTGATATTTTTTCAGATGATGAAATGCCTAACACTTCAGGTTCGACAACTCAGATCAATAAGCAGGGCACCAAAAAGCCGGCGCAAAAGCTGGAACATCATAAAGATGAATCGCATGAATTAGAGTTAATGAAGAAAAGGGCATCTCAAAATAAACAGTTTATATACATAAAAGTTCCAGGAGTAATACACAGTTTCAGTTATCAGGTTGGTCCTCAAAACATAAATATACATTTAAAACCTTTCAAATAATTAATTTATCATATTAATTTATAGGGGGCAAAGGAAAAAAATTTAGAAGATTTGTATGACTTTGTTATTCACATGCCTACATTAGAATATCAGAACAAGACATGGTCATGGTTGGATTTTATAGAGCAATTGAAAAAAGGTACGGGTATATTCAAATATTTAAATTATTTTATCATTATGATACTAGCCTGATTGATTTTTACTTTTTTAGACGCGCTTCGAACTATTCTCACCCACGCTACAGCATTACTGAAAGAAAAATTGAACCCTTATCAAAAACGTAGACCCATAACGTCCTCAGATTAGAGTTTAGACCCGGGTTACAGTAAACCGGGTCACCCGTGTCAAACTGTTCAACCGGGTCAAAAATTTACAACTCGAGTCAAACCGGTTGAATAAATAAATTCTAAAAATCGGTTACTATTACACAGAAAACATAAAATTTAACATATTATTTATTGTATTGTTAAAATAAACACTTTTTTTTTCTTATTAGTTTATAGAAATGTTCAGTACCGCTAATCTGGGTTTAAAAAAAAGGTACAAAATTTTGGAGGTTACCATACGACTATCTATTGCGAAAATTTTGCTAAAAATTTTCCTTTGTATAAACCTTTATTATTATTTTCTTTGCTTTGCTAATATGTAATACACTGTGTGTTCGACACGTTCGATAGTACCCCAGTAATTCGTAGCGCCGAGTTCTGGTTATGAAAGTAGGCCCAAGTTATTTGAATAATTATCTTTTTTAAAAAAAATTCCAATGCATGGCATTTTTAATTTAATATAAAACTGTGTAATGTTAAAGGTTTTTTTTTTGAATATAAAATTATGTATATATATATGTATCTGTTAGATATAGTATTCTTGGGACATGTAGTATGTAGTATATTTAAAAGATTCGGTAATTTAAATTATTTTTTATATTTCATGTTTATTTGTGGGATAAGTTAGGAGACAAGCTATAAACTTCGGGACTTAAAAAATTATCCATTTTATAATTTATAAATTCGTATATTTCGATTGAAAGTTTTTAGTGTGTTAGCTTTATTTTTAAAAAAAGGCTTAATAATTTAATCTTTAAAACTCACTATGAATGCAATTCCTGAATACAGCATATGTACGGTCTACCCTCGCTATAACAGACCTGTTATAGCGGATGTCTCGTTATAACGGAGTAATTCTCTGGAACCATTTAAAATTCATATTATTATATTATATAACGCTATAGCGGATATCCATACTTATAACAAGGGTAGATTGTATATGCTAGGTAAGTGGATGACTATTAATTTAATATAGTGTTAATATAAGATGGATAGTTTAGTATCGTTTTATATTTTAAATAAAAGCAAAAATTTTATTAGTTTTTACGTGCTAGTAATAGTGTTTTATTGTTCCGCAAACGGGTACCCGAATTGGAACCGTAGAGTGGTTTAACATACCGCTATCAAGCAAGTGGAAAGCTATTAATTTTCCTAAGTAAATTTGATTATTCGATCAGGCGATAAACAATTAATTCACTCATAGTTACAATAAAAAAAATATATTTAGATTTGCTAAAGATTAGCTTCGAAAAACACCTTAAAAACAGTTGTTATAATAATGAACCATAGTAAAATACGATACCGTTCATTTCACCAACGGTTTATTTCACCGGTCATCTCACGACCGGCCACCCAAAAAAGTTTCGAAAATTATTAACATAATTGATTTAGTATGTGATTTTTTTTCTTCGATACTTTAAAGTGAAAAACGGTAAAAGCATAAAATCCAATAAATACAACATTCTAAAAGTATATGTTGATTGCCGCAACGAAAAAAAAGAAATAAATTTATAAAAACTAATTAAGAAAATGCAATTGAACCAGAAAATCTTGTAGATTTTATTTTTAATGCTCTTCCGGAAGATTATAACTGATTATTTATTTTAATCCAGGATGCAGCAACAAAAAATTATTGAAAAAATCAAGTAGTAACAAATGGCTTGATAGTGTTAATAAAAACTTTGTGCCATTGCATAAATTGGAGGATTATAATCATTATGAAAAACCGTAATTATAATATTTTCTGGCTATAATAATATTACGCTTATTGAAATAAATAAAATGATTAATTTAGGAAATTAACCCTTTTTTGATATTGTCACACCTCTGTTAACATCAATATAGATTTTTAGGTGTTTGGTAGGCTTAGAGTTAGCAGGGGTGTGACAATATCAAAAAAAGGTGTGGAAATATCAATTTCCTAATAATAATATATACTATACTATGTTAAATAAACTACTTTGTAACAATATTTGACTTATACTACTAGCTATTCAAATACAATTTATAATATAACTATACAAATATATATAGTGTCAACTATCTATATAACGGAAATCTGGGCTGAAAAAAATCTCCGTTATATGACTTTTTTATTATTAGTCCGTTATAACCATTATAAATTATTTATATATTAAAAAGATTTGATTCTTTGCAATTTGTCCGTCAAACCGGTGAATCCGGTCTAAAGATTTCTGTTATATCGGTAGTTGACAGTAGATGCTAGTAAAATTAAGAATCTTTCAAATATAATAAAATTGGCTCAAATACCAAAGCCTAAAGTTCAAATCTCATTCCAATATAATAAAATTTGTTTCAAATTCCAATCCTAAATCCTAAATCTCAATAGTTTTGGCAGCAAGTATATAAATATATATAATCTATATATATTAATTGTTTATATTAAATTTGATTTTATATTAAAAATAATAATAAAATTATTTTATAGTTTTAGTTTTTTATTATTATTGTTTTTTTATTTATTTATATAGCAGTTACAATTATTAAGGTTCTTAGTTTTATTATTTTTTAATATTAAGATAAGTACTTGTAATTCAGGATTTTATTGATAGAATGTTTCAGCTTAATGATTGCATTATAATAGATATAGAAGGCAATTATAAGAAAAATGTACAATTAGCTACTTATACAATTTTAGTTATTGTTTAATTTAAGTAGTCCATATAAAGGTTTTACATTAGTTGCTATATCAAAAATCTGCTTGTGAGTTCTTTATTTAAACATTCTGGTTTTTATATCTATTTATCTACTTACTTTACCAACTATTTTGATTATTATTAGTATAAATATATCATAATCATTAAGTTTTTAAAGCAGTTAATTCACTTATATGAAGAGCTTTTAACTTTACATTAAACTTATTAAAGTCTTCTGTATTGCAATATTTAGCTGACTTAGTATTTTATTATAGTTAAAACTAATACTTGTAATTAAAGCTATTATTAAACTATTATATCTTTATAGAGTTTATATAATCTTAGTAGCTCTCTTTATAATCTTACTAGTATCTTGTATACTTTTATAAATTATTTTATACTACCAATTTAGTTAACTTTGCATAATATAATTTTATGTTTAAATTAACTAATAGACAAATTAATAAATTTTTTTTATCTAAGCATTCTTGTCTATACAAATTATCTGTTTATATTTCTTTTTTAAATCAAGATTTTCATATATAATACTATTAAAAATTATATTACTTTTTTATTTAGAATTTTTAATTGGAGTTTTTTTTCAGTATTTATTTTTTAAATTTATTTGTATAATATTATATACTTTTAAAATTATTCTTAATACTATCAGAATTACAGAATTATAATTATAAATATTTTATTTAAGTTTTTAGCATCTAGCTTCTTATTATAGTTTATATTTTTTAGATATATTTATATAATATTATATATTTCTAAAGTTAGTTTTAGTATAACTAAAATTATAATATTATAACTTTAAATATATATATATATATATTTTATTAAGGCTGATGTTAATAGTAACTAATGCTTTTATTTGTATTTTTATAATATATTATATATTACTTGTACAAAATGAGTATACAACTAGCTATATATATAATTTTTGATTACTTATTTAAGTAGTCTGCTTAAAGGTTTTACACTAGCTGTTATACCTATAATCTACTATACTGCACTGAGACAATTAACTACCTTTATTTCTGTATACTTAAGTGTCATTTAATCTAATATTTTGTCTCTTTTTCTGTATATCTATTAAGCTGTTATCTAATTTCAAAGCATATTATCTAACTGTAAAGCTTAGTAAGCCTTCTGTTAACTACTTATTTACTTTATAAAACATTAACAAAGCTTGTTTTTGCAGAGTTTATCTAGATCCTAACACTTACTTCATAGCATATTCCTGGTACTTTTAGTATATTTCTGTCTTTTTTCCAAACTCCTAATTCAAATAACCTAATAGGACTACAACCAGTCTATTAGTATATCAGGTTGGCCTAATATTCTTTTTCTCCAATCCTCTTAACTAGAATTCTAGTGGCCTGGTTAGTGATACCCTTACTCAGAGATTTTTGTCTGTTTAGATACTCTATATTAGTATCTGTATTCTAGATTTAGCTTTTATCCCTTAGATTGTAGGCCAACACAGACAAATTTGCCTGCATTTTTGTATTTTTTTAGCTTTGATCTACTTTTTTAAATTGTTAAAATATATAAATAAAATTTGGTATAATAATATTTGAAAATA